CCTCCCTCTCGCGCGTCGTCGTCCTCGTCGTCGTCGTCGTCGTCGTCGTCGTCCTCCTCCTCCTCCTCGTCCTCCTCCTCCTCCTCGTCCTCCTCGTCCTCCTCTTCCTCGTCCTCCTCGTCCTCCTCCTCCTCCTCCTCGTCCTCGTCCTCCTCCTCCTCCTCTTCCTCCTCCTCCTCCTCTTCCTCCTCCTCCTCCTCCTCCTCCTCCTCCTCCTCCTCCTCCTCTCTCAAACAAAAAAAAACAATCCGCGCCCTCGCGGCGTTCGCTTGCCATCGGCTGGGGGTCGCGTTCCCAGCGGTCGGTCATCACTGCTCGCGAGATGTCTCTCTTGAGCTCGCGCTCGTCGTCGCTGAGCTCGGGCTCAGCGTGCCTGCACTCCCTCCATGCTGCTGCTGCTACTCGTCGTCGTCGTCGTCGTCGTCCTCCTCCTCCTCCTCCTCCTGCTCCTGCTCCTGCTCCCTGCCCCTGCTCCTGCTCCTCCTCCTCCTCCTCCTCCTCCTCCTCCCACTGCTTCCCCTCCCACTCCTTCCCCTCCTCTATCCCCTTCCTCCGTTTGCTGCTGCTGTTCTTCCTCCTCCTCCTTCTCCTCCTCCTCCTCCTCCTTCTCCTCCTCCTCCTCCCACTCCTCTGGCGCTGGGATAGAGGTTCTTCGCCAGCTGATTTTACCGAGCCGTCTCAGTGAACCTCCTCGTCATCCATATCCTTCCCCGCGTCCGGGAAATTCCTCGGGAGGATCTTTTGCAGGACCACCCGAGTCAAAGCGAGGCCTAACGAGCTCACGGTCAGCGGAGTCGTGCAGCGGTGCCTCATCCGACGCCTTGCACTGAGCGCAACCAGCGGAGAAAGACAAGGCATTCCTCGGCTACCCCGTCGTGCTGGCTGAGGGCTCCCCGGGACGATTTTAGGCCTCCCAGAGGCGGGCCAGTCCCCTGGTCCCCACATTTGTGGTCGAGGTTCCGGCCCTCGGCCCCCGAGCCCAGTGCGCCGTTGTATGTACCCCCCCCCCCCTCCTCCCTCCTCCTCCCCCTCCTCCTCCTCCTCCCTCCTCCCCCTCCTCCTCCTCCTCCTCTTCCTCCTCCTCCTCCTCGTCTCCTCCTCCTCCTCCCTCCTCCCTCCTCTCCCTCCCTCCTCCTCCTCCTCCTCCTCCTCGGCCCCCGAGCCCGGTGCGCCGTTATATGTCTTCCCCCCCCCCCCCTTGGGGCTCCGCCCCGCGGGCGAGCTGGGGCCTCGCGGGCCCGGTCGGGGCCGACGTCCGCAGCAGGATCGGGCCTCGGGCGGCCCCTGTGGCGGCTCGGTGGTGGACATCTGCCCTGTCCCCCCGTGTTTCTACGCTGTAGGTCGGGCCTGCCCCCCAGGGGGATTTTGGGCGAAGGATGCAAATATTCAAAACATGCGCCCCACATGCTCAAACAGAATCCGAAAAACCGGCCCCGGACTATTTTTGGACTGTTTTTGCATCATCTTCCCCCTGTGGAGGGGCAGGCCCGACTGAACTCTGCTCGTCATCTTCCCCACCATCCCCGCCGTGATCCTCGCCGTCGTCCTTGTCCTTCTTCTTGTCCTTGTTCTCCTCCTTGTCCTTGCCCTCCCTCTCTTCCTCCTCCTCCTCCTCCTCCCTCCCTCCTCCTCACCACCACCTCCACCTCCTCTCACCCTCCTCCTCCTCCACCTCCTCCTTCTCCTCCTCCTTCTCCTCGTCCTCCGTCCTCCTCCTCCTCGTCCTCCTCGTCCTCCTCCTCCTCCTCCTCCCCTCCTCCTCCCTCCTCCTTCCTCCTCCCTCCCTCCCTCCCTCCCGCCCTCCTGAAACGTCGGCCCCCTGATCTGTCCAGGGGCGCCTTCTGGCAACACGATCTCGACGCGGACACGGCCGTGGCGACGCGACGCCCCCCCCCCAGAGGCCCAACACGGGCGAGAGACATACAAGAGCCTCGTCGCCCTCGTCCTCGCCGTCGGGTCGTCCTTGTGATCGTTGTCGTCCGCATGTCGTCCTCGTCCTCGACCTCGTCGCCGTCCTCGTGATCGTCCTCAGGTCGTCCTGGCCCTCGTGGCCGTCGTCGACCACTGGTCGTCCTCGTGATCGTAGTGGTCCTCTTCCTCGTCGTCGTTGTCGTCGTCGTCGTCCTCGTCGCCGTCCTCGGGCTGTTCCCCTCATCAGAAGATGGCGCCGGGAGCCCGGCTGCGCCTGCGCCGGCTGGCCCAGGGACGCCCGCGCGCTCCGCAGCCTTTCCCGCAGGCGCTCCACGCAGAGGGCGAAGGACGCGGCCTGCGGCCGGCGCGGCCCCGTCCGCGACAGAGCCCTGACCTTCAGCACGTTCTGCCGCGCTCATTTCGCTGTGGCGAGGCCTCCGCCTCCGCCGCCTCCTCCTCCTCCTGCTCCTCCTCCTTCTCCTCCTCCTCCTCCTCGTCCTCCTCTTCCTCCTCCTCCTCCTCCTCCTCGTCCCGTCGTCGGCTTCGTCCTGTCCACGCGGTCGTCGTTGCCGTCGTCGCGCCGTGGCAAATGCCGTGGCGGTCGCCGTGCCCGTCGCCGTGGTCGCCGCCGCCGCCGCCGCCTTCGTCGTCGCCTTCGTCGTCGTCGTCGTCGTCGTCGTCGTCGTCGTCGGGGGATAGCGAGGAATAGAGCGGTGGAGGGAATAATGAGGAGGGAGGAAGAGAAAGATAGAGAGAGAGAGAGAGCGAGAGACAGAGCGAGAGATAGAGAGAGCGAGAGAGAAATGATAGAGAAGAGAGGAACCAGCCGGAGGAGGGATACGGAAGAAGGGAGCAAGCTGAGTCTAGAGGCACAAACAGAGAGCAGAAGGTGGATGATTAATATGGAAAGAGGAGGGAAGGAGGAGTAGGAGTAGGAGTAGGAGTAGGAGTAGGAGTAGGAGGAGAAGGAGTAGGAGTAGGAGTAGGAGTACGAGGAGAAAGAAGAGGATGACATATGAATGGGACTCTGCCAAGAAGGGATGCAGAAGCGAACGAGGAAGAAGAAGGGAGGAAGGATGAGCATGAGGACGAGGAGGGAGACACGGAAGATTAGGAAAGAATGAAGCATGGGGGAAACGGGTGCTGAGGGAAATGGGTCATGAACCCCAAGGCCTTCCCCCAAGACGAGGTCTTCATCATGAGTCGTTTTCTGACGGTCCTGGGGCCCGTGGAGGGCCCCGAGAACCCAAAGACGGCGAACCAACCTCAGGAAATGAGGTCCCGCTTTCCCCATGGCGAAGAATGGAGGAGGAGGGGATGAGCAGGGACCGACCGTCCCGGCATTCCTGTAGGCCTACCACGACATTTCTCATAATCCATGTTCCAAGAACACAAGCAAAGTTCGTAGAATTTAAAACAAGACGGTCTCAGCCAGACATGTTCGAAGAACATCTCGTAGACACCGCAAGAGGTTCCTAAAACATTGCTCGGTGGGCCTGTAGGCACGCCATGACGCTTCTCCACTGCTTGAAGCGGGGGGACCGGGAGGAGCCGGGAGGAACGACGGGGGAACTCGAGCAAGGGGGCCCCAAAAGCGTCGCCAGACCCGGCCCGTAGGCCGATCTCCCGTGCCCCCGGCTCTCTCGACGTGCCCTCTCCGGGTGCTCGGGCGCCCAGGGGAGCGCTGCGCTCCCTTGCGCAGCGACGACGACATCGACGACGACGACGACGACAAACGACGACGACGACGACGACGACGACGGCGACGACGACGACGACGACGACGACGACGACGACGACGACGACGACGACGACAAACGACGGCGACGGCGACGGCGACGACGACGGGGGGAAGCGGGCGGGGGGCCCTGCCGCAAGAGCTGGCGCGAGGGAGGCGGGGCCCTGGGCCCACCGGGCTTGCCCGAGGGCGCCCGACTCCGCGCTGCGCGCTGCGCGCTGCGCGAAGGAATTCGCGCGCTCGCGCCGTCCCCCCGGGGGAGAAGCGAAGGACGAGAAGGAGTCGGAGCCGAAAAAAGTAGGCAAAAACATAATAGAAACATCGTCCCGAGAAGATGTTTCACTACTGTTGGATCTTCCTCCCGTAGAGGAACGTGCCCGACTTCACGCGCAGCGCGAATAACTTCGCACCCTCGAAGGCGCCCGTGTCCCCTCTCCCCCCGCCCGGGACCGGCCTCTCGCAGCCCGAGGCGTCCCTCCGGCCGGGGCGGCCTCCCGGGGGCCGAACACGGCGTGGCGCCTCCTTCTTTTCTGCTTTGTCTTGCTTCGGTTGTGGCCTGTCTTTCGTCTTAGGACCCCTTTCCCCTTCAGTGGAACAGATTCGGTTCGATTCGCGCTCGCTCTCGGATCAATCTCCCTGCCCACTGGGGCGCGAACGTTCAGGCCGTGGCCTGTCTGTGAAACGCCAATGGATTAGAACGGGATCCGACAGTTAACATGGAAAAAGCGTGCATCGCTGGAATCGTGGTGCATCGCTGGCGTTTAGGGGAAGAGGAAACTGCAGAAACATACTATCTCGGAGCTCCGCCCGGACTTCGCGGCGCAGGGCCCCCCCTCCCCTGGCGCGCGGAGCGCGCAAGGGGCGGCGCCAGAGGCGCCACCAGGGGGGCCTACCGAAAGCCGCGAGACGTAAGACTCGGATTTTGGGGACTCGGGTTGGCCTGACGGGGCTGTCAAGAAAATGACGCGAGCTCCCGCCTGCAAACGTGCAACGAGAACCAGACCGTACAAATTCAATATAGCCCCGTACAAAGTCGGCAGACCCGAGTTCTGGCGAACTCGAGTCTTGCGTTTTCCCGTTTCATGGCGGATCCCCACTCCAAGCGTAGTATAATGACCAAGACCAGCCAAAACGAAGGGGCGACCTGGAGCGCGAGCAGACGCTCGGCGGAGAGGCTGGCGCCCCCGCGTCGCGCCCAACCCGGAGCCGGCCGCCTCGCTGGACTGGGTGGGAGTCATCGCCGGAGGGTCGGCCGAAAAGAGAGGAAGCGGGAGGCGGGAGCCAGTTGCGTCTGATCGAGCCGTGACGCTGGTGCGGGGGGGCTCCTGGGGGGCTCCTAGGGGGCTCCTGGAGGGCTCCTGGGGGTGCTCCTAGGGAGCTCCTAGGTGGCTTCCCGTGTGCCTTCCAGGGAGGCCCGGGGCTCCTGGAGGGCTCTTGGGAGGCTCCGAAAGGGGATGGTGCTGCACGCACGGCGGCAGATCCGTCGTCGTCGTGAGGGTCCACCCGCCGGCGGGGCCTCGCTGCGCAGCTGCCTCGCCGTGTGCAGGTCCCTCTCGGCGGCGGCGCGGTGCTCGTCGAGCCTGGCCGACATGCCCGCGAGCAGCGCCTCGCGCCCGCACGGGGGCCTGCCGGGTGGGGGCGCAGGGGCGGCTGCCGGGGTCCTCCTCGCGCCGTGAGCAAACATCGCGACGGGAGGTCTTCTTTTGTTGTTGCTATTTTCGGCCTCTGGACGCCCTTGCTGGGCACCTTTGGTCGTCCAAAAACGACTCGAGACGAATTGCAGCTCCATGGGACTGGGTCGAGACCTCCAGTGGCCGACGCTGCGAACCCCCAAAAGTGCCCCCTCGAGGTCTGAGGGAGACACCGAGAAGGCGGCGGAGCACGAAACCGCAGGCGATCTGCTGCTCCTCCTCCTCCCCCTCCTGCTCCTCCTCCTCGTCCTCCTCCTCCTCCTCCTCCTCCTCCTCCTCCTCCTCTTTCTCCCCCTTCTCCTCCTCCTCCTCCTCCTCCTCCTCCTCCTCCTCTCCTCCTCCTCCTCCTCCCTCCTCCTCCTCCTCCCCTCCCCCTCCCCCTCCCCCCCCTCCTGCTCCTCCCTTCTCCTCCTCCTCCTCCTCCTCCTCCTCCTCCTCCTCCTCTCCAGGATGCGACGTTGCGAAGGGAACGAACTCTGCAGACCGTGTCTGGCCAGACGCATTCCACGAAGCGAGCGCGCAACTACCGTCTGGCGGCCCCTCTGAGGCGCTGCGGAGTCCGGTCGTGAAGCTTCAGCGGCGGCTGCGCGCCCCGTACCGCCAGCTGGATAGAAACGGGCCGTGGCTCCAACCCTGCTGGCCCTTGGGAGAGACGTGGCTTGACAAGTCGGCTCTTCCATGCCGCCTTCTTTCCCTTCGGGGAGGGGGCATCGAACGACGAGCTGAGCCTGCGACAGAGTTGGGACGAGCTCTGTGGGGGACTTGGCAATTGGCTCTGGGCTTGGTGATCATTGCAACGACGGCACCAGATGCCTCGTGCTGCCGATCTCCGCGAGCTCGAAGTCGTCTTGGAAAGAAAACGCAGTCGAGGTCTCCTCGGCCGGAAGGAGGGAGGGAGGGCGGGAGGAAGGGAGGAAGAGAGAACGAGAAAGAGAGAGAGAGAGAGATACCATACATACAAACATACCTACCTACGTACGTACATACATACATACATGCATCCATGTATGTATGCATGCATGCATACCATACTAACATGTATGTATGCATGCATGCATGCATCCATACATACACACAACCATACGCACTTGCACACATGCATACAACACGTACATGCACACATGCATACATCAATACATACATGCACGCATGCATACGCACATTCAACCACATAAATATACACGTGTACGTGCACATACATCTACACATGCACATACAGATGCGCATACACAGGCACATACACGCACACATGCGTGCATATACACATACACACAGACACACACACACACATACACACATACACATACACACATGCACACACATACATGCATGTCTGCATGCCTGCATGAACGCGTGCTTGCACACATGCATGCATACATGCATGCGTACATGCATGCACACATATATTCACACGTGCATGCACACTGACATACACATACATGCTTACGCACATACGTATACACATACACACATACGTACCACGTACACACGTACATATGGATGCATGTTTGTATGCATATGGATATGTATGAAAGTTTTGCCAAACGCATCTCAAGCGCCGCCTCCTCACTGCATCCCTGCGTCCGTCCCGGCGCCCCTTCTCGAGATCCGACAGTCTGGCTCACCACCTCGGCACCTGGCCGATAACGCTCCCCCGGACCACGCGACCTGCCTGATCGCCACGGGCACAAGGGCCGAACTCATGGGATGCCCCGTGTGCCGAAGTGCCGCTGACACGCGAGCAGCATGCCGCGCACAACGCACAACCCTGACCTTCACGAACAACAACTTTTGGATGGCGTGTCGCCCCCCGCGGCCCTGGCGACACGCTATGCCTTGCGAATGGACAACGCGTCGCTTCGCTCCGCGGGGCGGGAAGCTCGGACACAGTCGGGATGTTGACGCATGGGGACCAGGAAACGGAGATAGCGTTTCTTGCCGAAGCGTGGTGGACGGGAACTGGCGGAGCGACACGCTGTCCGAGAGCTCCCGTCCGTACGACCACAGACCGAGTGGTGCATGCCAAGGCCACGCGCAAGACGCACCGCAGCACCAAGACAGAACAACAGTCTGGCTCGGGCCCCGGGCGACCGAGCGTGGGACCTCCGTGGGTCGACGGGGCACGGGGAGGGGCTGGACGTCCGAGGTGATGCTGGCAGCGGCGAACCCCGCATAAAGAAAAAGGGTGGTGGCGCTGCGGCGCGCGTGCCTGGAGGCCCCAGCCCCACGCGGCGGGGCATGACGGGAGCCGACCCCGCTCATCACAAGCGCGACTCCTCTGCAGCACTCGTCGGGGCACCCAAGCCCTTCTTTTCCCCAAGCGGTGCTTGTATTTTTCGTTTTTAAAACATATTTGTACATACGCATGAGATATACATATATATATATATATATATATATATATATATGTATGTGTATACATATATATATGTCGGAGGTTTGGGGGTGAGATCGCAGTGAATCGGAGACCCCCCACCGGGAAATTGGTTTTGGTTTCGTGTTCGTGTCGTGCGTGCGGGCGAGGCGAAGCTGCGCGTGATCCTCCTGTAGCTAGGCCGAAGTAGGAGCGAAAGTCCGTTTCCCGTCCGCCGGTGGCCGGGAGGTGTCCCAATTGGGCCGGGCGGTGTCCTGGGTGTCCCGGGCGTCCCGGCGCTAACGCATGTCGCAAATTTCATAATTCATTTTTGTTCGGCGCCTGCGGCGGGCTTTCTTATCCAATTCAGCTTATCTTGCCACATCCATCTTGTCCAATCCAATCCATCTTATCTTATCTAACCCATCTTGTCCCATCTTATCTTGCCCCACCCATTCCAATCCACCCAACCCAATCCATCAATTCATTTGCTTCTGCGCCTGCGGCGGGCCAATCCATTCTATCTTATCTTATCCAATCCATTTCTTCCAATCCAACCCATCTTATCTTATCCAATCCATCTCATCCCATCCCATCCAATCCACCCAACCCAATCCATCAATTCATTTTTGTCGGCGCCTGCGGCGGGCTTTCTTCTCCAATCCAGTCTATCTTATCCAACCAATCTTTTCTTATCCAACCCATCTTGTCCCATCTTATCTTATCCCACCCAATCCAATCCATCCAACCCAATCCATCAATTCATTTGTTTTTGCGCCTGCGGCGGGCCCATCCAATCCATGTTATCTTATCCAATATATCTCTTCCAATTCAACCCATGTTATCTTATCCAATCCATCTTATCCCATCCCATAGAGAGGGAGAGAGAGAGAGAGAGAGAGGGCGAGAGAAAGAGAGAGAGAGAGAGAGACACAGAGAGAGAGAGAGAGACAGAGAGAAAGAGAGAGATAAGATCAAGCTGACAGGCTGGAGGTCAGTCAGGGTGGGCATCTGATTCAATCCCCCCCAACCTCCTTGTCGCCCGCAGGGCGGTCGTATAGGTATGAAAAAACTGGACCTGCCCGGTCTGGCGGTTACGTGGTCGCCGTCGCCGCCCCGCCGCCGCCCGTCTTCAGGGCCTGCCCGTCGGTCTGGCGGCTATGTGGTCGCCGTCGCCGTCCCGTCGCCGCCTAGATTTTCCTGTCTAAGAAAAATTAGGATCCCCCACCCCCCCACCGCCGGCTTTATCGGTACACTTTTTTGTGTTGTAATTTACAAATGATTCTGCCCCACCGTCCACCCTTATATGAACTCATACCATCCCAGCCCAGCCGGGCTCGACCCCCCGCGCCATCCTCTGGAAACCATACTATGCGCGCGCACACGTTTATCAAACGCCACACGTTTCCAAATAACCTTTGCAACAAATTGACGACATTCACACGCGCCCGTCGTCGCGCGCGCATGCCGAAACCCTTCAAACACCCTCGAATTCGGAGCAATTGCAAAATCGAGTGTCTAACAAACATGTGAATCATATGGTATCGCAAAAGTAATTTCAAAACAAACTTGCGCGCTTGCGTATTCTTAAGAGAACCATTTGCTTTCAACATGTTCATAACATGCTAGCAAACGGGCTTCGCGCGCGCAAGCCGAAATCGTTCGAACGCCCTTGCGCGCGTGCTGTCGCGAGGATCCTTTGCAACAAATAAAGCGAAGTGCACGCGCGCGCGTCGTCGCGCACGCATGCCGGAATCCTTTGACAACCTTAGGTTTCGTAGCGATTTCAAGACGGAAGGTCCAAAACACATTCAAAAACATATGGTTTCGCAACCTCAGTTGTCAAACAACTTACGCGCGCTCTTGCGAATTCAAAGAAGCCATCGGTTGTTCAGCATTTTCATGGAATTCAGCCAAGCGGGCCTCTGGCGCCGCATGCCGACATCATTCGCGCGCCCTTGCGCGCGTGCTGGGGGGCACGATCCGTGTCAAATCACTCGACGCGGAGATCCCCAGATGTGCATCTCATAGTTATGGCATGCTTCGGTTGAAGGCATTGTCCAATATGAGTGTCATCGAACTCATGTGGAAGACGAAGCCGAGAGAGACGTCGACGACTACGACGAGTTTAACTAGTTGTTTCCTCCTTCTTTCCTCCTCCTCCTCCTCTTCCTCCTCCTCCTCATTGCCTTCCTCCTCTGTCTCTTTTTTTTCCTCTGAACACCTGTCAGGGCGCCGGAAACTGCTCCGAAAGAGAAGGATGTTGAACACCCAAACAGACAAACCGCCTGAGACATCCCCCAATCTGGGCGCGAACGGGCCCGAGATACCCCCTGGCGCCCCCCCCCGGGACGTTGAGCACCCAAACAGGCAAACCGCCCGAGATATCCCCCAAATCTGGGTGCGAACGGGCCCATGATATACCCCCTGGCGGCCCCCCCTTAGGAGTGCTGAATCCAGCGCCTCACCTGAGACATCCTCGGAAACTTCTGACAAATAAGGATGCTGAGCACCCAGACAAGCAAACCGCCTGAGACACCCCCCCGATCTGTGTGCGAGCGGGCCTTGAGATACCCCCTGGCGGCCCCAATTTGGGAGTGCTGCAAGGTGTGACCAGACGGTTTTAAGGTATGGCCAGAGGACGCCCCAGGAGGGGCCCGAAGCAAGATTTCTCGAGCCAGATCCCATCGCACTCGCATCCGTCGAGGGAGACGGATCCCGAACCACGACCGCAGGCGACGCCCAATTAGAAGCTCAACCCTCCAACTTGGGCCGTCGAACCTCGAGGTAGACCTTGAATAGAGCCACGCGGCCGCGGCTCTGCGCATGTGCAACCTGCTGGGACGTAAGAGGAGGGTGGACGAGGGGGGAGGCTTCACGGAGGCGAGAGTAGAGCTAGACAACATATTCTTTCATCCGCCAGCATGGCGCACACCATTCGCCAGATGAGGAGGATGATGAGGAAGAAGAGGAGGAGAAGGAGGAGGAGGAGGACATCTATGGAAGGCCCCCTGGGGGCACTTCCCCCAACGGCACGGCCCTCTGGAGGTGATTCGAGGGCACTCCCACCACCAAACGAAGTGGGACGGGCGGTGTGGCGCCGCGGAGAACCTGGGTGTCGACAGCAAGCAAGCGCCCCCCCCACACACATGTTCTCCTTCTTCTTCTTCTTGATAATAATGTTATTATAATTATTGTTCCCCTTTGTGTTATGACGAATATGGCAATTGTGATTATCATGTTACTTATAGTAATAACTTGACCGATAGTACTAGTGATAACCACTATTACTATTGATCGTATACGTGATACTTCTTCATTACATATGAGTTATTCTGCTTAATCGCATATCATTATTATGCTTATTATTATTGCTGTTGATAGTATTGGAATTCTCATTCTTATTATTGGCATTATCCGTATTATCATTCGATTACGATTAGAATTCGTATCATTGATATTCTTGCTACTACTATTGCTATTACTATTCTTATTATGACTATTCCTCCTCCTCCTCCTCCAACGCCTACGCTGCAAGCTCCCGAGCCCTTACCCCAAAGCGCGCGACCAGCCGCCCGACCACCAATCCGGCATTAAGCGCATGGGATGCTGGTGGACGCGGGCCCTGGGCCCTGGGGCTTTATTGGAGCCTCCTGGGAGCCTCCAGGGCACTTCCTGAGCGCGTCTTGCGGTGGAACCTCGCACTTCCGCTTCGTGTTCCCCCTCTTGGGCCCCTCTTGGGGTCGTCTTGGGGCCCTCATGGGCCCTCGTGGGCCATCTCGGGGCCCCAGACCAAGTCTGCGCCCCGAGCCGCCCGTACCCATCGGCCGGAAGAAGTAGGTAGAACTATGAAGCAGGGAGGCGCTGGAAGCAGATTGGGTGTCCGCCCGCCTCCTGAAGGGGAGGGAAGAGGGACAACCCCTGGACTCTCGAAGTAGGCAGGCGGCTAAAGTAGATTGGGAAATTGGGAACCGGGACTCCGAAAATACCTACGTACTTTCAACGACCGATGGGTACATGGCCCCGACGGCCAGGCCCCAGGAGCCCGAACTAACACGGCGGGAGGCCCCTGTGGGGACAGCTCTCCTCCGTGTTGAGAGCCGACGGGGGCCCCGCTTAGGCCTGCCGTGCGCTGCCGGCAGGCCTGGAGGACGGCACGGGGCGCCGCATTCGCTCCACAGCGTTGGGAGTCGCTCTCGGAACGCTCCAGACCGATTCGCCACCAGGCATCATTTTTTGTTAAACAAATTTCTTTTAAATGCTATATATATATGTATATGTATATATATAAATATATATACATCTATATATATATATATATATATATATAAAAAAGTCATGATTTGATTTTGCTATACATATGCAATTCGTACCAGTCTTCATTTCAGCTTATGCCGATATTTCGCCTTTTTCTACTCGTGTCTTGATGTTGTTCGTCACGGGATTCTCGGAGCGTCCCCATACTCCCTGGCGGTCCCGGGGGCCCGGCGAGTGGCCCCGGAGGCCGACAGCACAGCCCCAAAACGCCTTCCGAGCCCTACATGCTTACCGAGGGATGAGAAAGAACGCCCCTACCCCAGATTTCGTAATAAAGGGAGGGGGGTCTCATTTCGGGGGGGGGGTCTCCTCCAGGCTATCTTGGAGGGCCTGGGGGGGTCTGGGGACGATGTTTTGGAGGGTTCTCCCACGGGGGAGGTCTGAAATGGCTTGTCTTGGAGGGTCCAGACCCCCTCCCTTCTATCACGAAATCTGGAGTACATTCTTACTGAGGGATGAGAAAAAACGCCCCTACCCTGGGTTGCAAGTGCGTGGTCTGCAGACCTCCTGGGAGCTCCCAAAGGCCAGAGACCCGCCAGGACGCCGCGCGACACGCGGCACACGCAGGGCTTACCCTGTCAGCCCACAGGAGGTTCAGCGCAGAGCGCCTCGTAAACCAGGGCAGGGGCGTTTTTCAAGCCCTTGACTCGGCGGTGGACAACCCTCCCTTCAGTAAACCTCTCTTCAGTGAAAACGGCCTGGGACCGAAACCGACGGACCTGGACCCCCCGCAAAACTGGCGGCCGCGACGCCCCCTCGCGAGCCGAGGACGGCCAACTCCTGAGTCGACGCGTCCGGGTAAGTAGGAGGCCTATCAGCCTCCGATGCACTCTTACGGCAGGTTCGTGTCGTGCCGACCCCAGCGTTGGTTTTTGACACCGCAGGGATCGTTCAACCTTGAACGATCGGCCGCTGCCGCAACGTCCGATCGTTCAACATCCATCGATTCTGGGCCGCCGGCGGCGTTCAACCTTGAACGCCCGCGCTGGGGTCGCCGCTGGTCGACACGATGCAAACCTACCGTACGGCTCGCGAGCACGTGTCCGGGCCCCCCCTTCCCGAGAGGCCTCCCCGCCGCCCCGCCCCCCGGGGCTGGAGGAGGAGGAGGAGGAGGAGGAAAGGGAGGAGGAGGAGGAGGGAGGAGGAGGGAGGAGGGAGGAGGAGGAGGGAGGGAGGAGGGAGGAGGAGGGAGGAGGAGGAGGAGGAGGGAGGAGGGAGGAGGAGGAGGAGGAGGAGGAGGAGGAGGAGGAGGAGGAGGAGGAGGAGGGAGGAGGGAGGAGGGAGGAGGGAGGAGGGAGGAGGGAGGAGGGAGGAGGGAGGAGGAGGAGGGAGGAGGGAGGAGGGAGGAGGGAGGAGGGAAGGAGGAGGAGGAGGAGGAGGAGGAGGAGGAGGAGGAGGAGGAGGAGGATGGTTCTCTCTCTCTCTCTCTCGGCCGGCCGCGCCCCGCTCGCGGCGTGCAGCTCGCCAGAGCGCCTTTTGCATCCAGACCCTGGCAGGCAGCTTGCTTTCGGGTCGAGCACGGCCTCCCACAGGCGGGTTCTGGAGGAAGGATTGAACATACTCAATACATACATAAAAATGATCAAACATAGTAGAAGAATCGTCCCCAGACCCTGGCAGTCAGCTTGCCTTCAGGTCGAGCATGGCCTCCCACGGGCGGGTTCCGGAGGAAGAATTGAACATACTCCAGATTTCGTAAGAAAGGGAGGGGGGTCTCATTTCGGGGTGGGGGGTGTCTCCTCCAGGCTACCTTGGAGGGCCTGGGGGGGTCTGGGGACGATGTTTTGGAGGGTTCTCCCACGGGGGAGGTCTGAAATGGCTGGTCTTGGAGGGTCCAGACCCCCTCCCTTCTATTACGAAATCTGGAGTATTCAATACATACATAAAAATGATCAAACATAGTAGAAGAATCGTCCCCAGACCATTTTTTTCCAATTTTTGGACATGCCCGACTTCAATTTTTCTTGCATGGCACTTCCCCCCCCCGACTCCGCTTTTTGAGGCAGCGCTGGGCCGAAAAGGCGTGCGAGTGGGCCCCGGCGTGCGTGAAGCGCAGGTTTCCTTTTTCGGGCCTCGCCCCGCCCCGCCCCCCCTACATGCAAGTAACGTGGCTTGAGTCTGAAGATAGAGGCCTCCCAGATGGGGTCCGAGTAGATGGGGTCGCAGGATCGCGCCGCATCGTCAATGCATCGGCGACGTCGGCGGTAGATCGGCACCAACGGCGTGGGGAAAATCGGGCTCCACATCGGGCCGCATCGTCCATGCATCGGGGACACGGCGCGAACCTCCGATCCCGTCTAAGTACTACTCGGACCCCATCTGGGAGGTCCAGCTCCATGCAGATGAACTTGCTTGAGCCTAAGCAAGAACGGACCCCCGCTGAGGGGCAACGATTTGGGGGGACTGGCATAGAGTGGGGATATATCGACCAGTCATCGGCGATGCATCGCCGAAAGATCGGCGATAGGGCCCCCACATTGAATCCGCACGTTCCTGGGCAGGTTGGGGCTGTCGGGCCCCTATCGGCGATCCATGGGCGATTGGGAACCGATGTCTCCCCCCACGAGGACAAGCAATCAAAGTACCCCTGATCCTTCGGGAGGGGACCTGAGCTAGGAGGGCCAAACACGTCAGGGATAGGGGGCCTCCTCTGCAGATGCATCGCACCACACCGTGCATATGTACCACGCCCAGATGCGAAGACGGGGACCTACAGTCGGACTCGATTGGACAGGACACGCGAGAGGACACAAGACCCTTCCGAGGGCCACTTCGCCACAGGAGTGCAGGAAGCCTGGGTCGCGAGACACGGGACACGAGGGGCACCCCTGATGCGGCAGGGCCGACCTGCTGATCTGGGCCGCCTGTGCGTGAGGCCGCGCCTCCACCGTGCCATTCGAGCCAGGGGGCCCTCTTTAGGGGAACAAGAAGTGACATAAGCATAAACAATCGGAGGTCCGCGCGGATTTCTCGGATCGGCGCTGGGGCCCCCCGGCGGCGCCTCCGGCGCCGCCCCTGGCGCGCTCCGCGCGCCAGGGAGGGGGGTCCAGCGCCGGTCCGGGAACTCTGCGCAGACCTCCGAGCTTTTATGTCTGTGCCACTCTTTGTTCCCCGACTCGAGCCAGGGGCTATTCGAGCCAGGGGGCCCTCCTGCTCCCTGCCCTCGCCCCTGAGCCCCGCCGCCCCGCCCCGCGGCCCCCCTCCTCGGCCCGCCGCCCCGCCCCGCGGCCCCCGTCCTCGGCCCGCCGCGCCGTGCCCGCGGCGCCCCGCGGCCCCTCGGCCGCCGCAGCGGCGCCGCGGCCGCCGGGCGGCGCCGCGGCGCCGGGCGGCGCCTCGGCGCCGGGCGCCGCCGCGCCCTCGGCGCTCGGCGCGGCGGGGTGCCGCGCGGCGGCGGGCGGCTCCGGGGGCGCGGCGTCCTGGAGAAGGGGCCCCAGGACACACAAAGGAATACACACACAGACATAACAGGATGCCCCATCTTTCCCCATGTTTTCTGGGCTTTCGTGTCTTCCCCCCACGGCCCTATATGTTCCCATATGTTTTCCTAGGGGTCGACGATTCCTTGCGTCTGTGTGGGGGCGCGGCGTCCTTGAAGGGGCCCCAGGACACACAAATGAACACACACACAGATACAACAGGATGCCCCGTATTTCCCCATATCTTCGGGGCTTTCGTGTCTTCCCCCCCAACGGCCTCTATGTTCCCATATTTTTTCCTGGGAGTGTCGACGATTGATCGTGTCTGTGTTGGCTTCGCCAAGGGCTATGAAGGGACGCGTGGATATTTTTTCCTTCTCACATTTCATTTTAGTGGTCTCGTGCCGAACAACGACAGATCTTATTGAACTGATCTGCTCAACAAAAAAACAAACGCGCGCAAAATCCACTGCGGATGCCCTCAGAGGAAAACGAACAATGGAACGCTGCATAAGCGGCGCCGGCGCCCCGCCCGCAGTCCAACTGCAGACAAAACCACAAATGATCAGCCCGCCGGAAAGTTCACGAGCATTGCGGCGGGGGCGGTCATACATCGAGCGAGGGCAGCGGAATTATAGCCGTCTGATGGAGCTCAGCCAAGGGCTACAAACATACAACCGCAAACTGGAGGCAAAGAAACAAGAGCAGTGCGAAAGGAGGTCACTGCGAAACCAGACAGATGTCTCCAGGAAGGGGAATGCCTGCCAACGCGCCGCTTGCACTTGTTAGTCATGCTGGCCCGCGGTAAACCCCAGCGGCAACGCCCAGGCGCCAACAATAACACCTAGACGCCCGGTGAAGTCATTGACGCGTTGCTCAAATCCTCGCGAGCCAATCCATGAACAACCACAAGGCGAGTCGCCCTGATCAAGGCCGGGTAATCGGGCAAGCGGCGAAAATAGCGAGCCGCATCCGTATTCGCGGATGATGAGGTGCAGGAAACGGAGCAAAGGTGAGGAGGGCGGAAAATGAAAAGCATAATGAACACGGTGAAAAGAGGGAGCATGGCGATAGGAAGGACTGGAAACGCGCAAGAGCATGAGCAGGTAGGAACACGGAAGAGGAGCTCGGAGGGGGTAGGAAGAAGCACAGGAAGCCTGAGGGAGGCAAAAGGCGCACCAGTGATCCGCGCGGAACGCGCGTGCGCGGCGCGCCCTCACCAGCGAGGGTGTAGGACGAGGCGGGAGGATCAAGGAGCAGGAGGAAGTAGGAGGAAATAGGAGGGGCAAGAACATGCAGAAGAAAGCATTTGCAGACTCGAATCCCAAGCAAGTTGCGCTAAGCATGAAAGCGAAGTGAAGCAACAGGCAGCGCCAGAAAAACATGATGGACCCACGAACCCGGAAAGGGATATAGACATGTGCAGCATGGTCACGTTTTCACGATATCCAACTGGGCGACACCTCACGAAACATCCCACGAGACACACCGCGAAACATCCCAGGAGACACCTCACGAAACAACCCACGAGACACCTCACGAAACATTCCACGAGACACCCCGTGAAACATTCCACGATACACCCCACGAACAGGCAACCACTCAACCAGAAACGACGAAACATTCCACGGGGGTGCGACTGGGTGTGGTCGTGCTGGGGTGTGGTCGTGCTGGAGTATGGTCGTGTTGGGGTGTGGTCGAGCTGGGGTGTGGTCGTGCTGGGGGGTGGTCGTGCTGGGGGGTGGTCGTGCTAGGGGGGTGGTCGTGCTGGGGGGTGGTCGTGCTGGGGCGTGGTCGTGCTGGGGCGTGGTCGTGCTGGGGCGTGGTCGTGCTGGGGTGTGGTCGTGATGTGGCGAGGTCGTGCTGGGGTGCGGTCGTGCTGGGGTGTGGTCTTGCTGGGGTGGGGTCGTGCTGGGGTGTGGTCGTGCTGGGGTGAGGTCGTGCTGGGGGGTGGTCGTGCTGTGGTGGGGTCGTGCTGGGGTGGGGTCGTGCTGGGGTGTGGTCGCGCTGGGGTGTGGTCGTGCTGGGGTGTGGTCGTGCTAGGGTGGGGTCGTGCTGGGGTGGGGTCGTGCTGGGGTGTGGTCGTGCTGGGGTGTGGTCGTGCTGGGGTGTGGTCGTGCTGGGGCGTGGTCGTGCTGGGGTGGGGTCGTGCTGGGGTGGGGCGTGCTGGGGTGTGGTCGTGCTGGGGTGGTCCGCACCTGTGATTTATCGATCGGGTCGTGGGGTTGCTGGTCGTTGCTGGTCGGTGTGCTGGGGTGTGGTCGTGCTGGGGTGTGGTCGTGCTGGGGTGTGGTCGTGCTGGGGCGTGGTCGTGCTGGGGCGTGGTCGTGCTGGGGCGTGGTCGTGATGGGATGCGGTCGTGCTGAGGTGGCCCGCACCCTGTGATTTATCGATCGGGATTTCAAAAACAAGCGTTTCGCCTGAGACATCCTCAAATTTTAATCCGCCGGCCTCCTTCGACCTCGATATTTATCAGGGAAAGAATCCGCCGGCCTCCTTCAAGTTGGCCACGGGGGGATATGTTTACATAGGAAAAGAGAACCCTGGGCCGATGCCCTTTCCGGGAAAAAACGAGGACAACCGTTACATTAGGGAAGAGAAAAAGGCGCAGGAGTAATTAATCGGAAGATGCGCAGGAACGGGAAGGGAGCAGAAAAGGGAGGAGGTCACAGAAGAGGGACGAGGAGGAGGAGGAGGACAAGGAAGGGAAAGATAAAGGATAGAGAGGAAAAAAACACGCTGACGACGACGGGCATCAATCATCGAGGATCTCGAGTCGTTCGCTTTAGGTGCCTGCGGGACGCACCATCAACGTCGTCATATCGGTGCCGCCGCGGCGCTCTCTTAGGGCAATTCTGGCTGCCTTTGGCGGCTGTCTTGGAGCCCCTTGGGGCCCTCTTCGGGTCGTTTCGGGGATCTCCTGGGCCCCTCTTGGAAGCCTCGGGGGTCCTCCTGGGGCCATCTTGAAGCCGTCGGTCAAAGAAGTGGGGCCCTAGCAACGCCCCATTCCTTCTCGAGCCCCCCAGTCGCCAAATGCGGCCCTCTTGCGACGCCCTTGAAGCGTTTTGGGCCGCTCTTTGGTGCTCTTGGAGCCGACTTGGGCCCTGATGGCCCCCTCTCGAAGCAAGTTCAAACCAACTCGCAGCCATCTCGAGGCCTCTAGAAACTACGGAAAGCAAAAAGGCGAGAAGGAAACAATTGAAGCGCACAGTGATTGTAAAGGAGTTGAACCTGTTGGAAGCCTCCTTCAAGAGCTCGAAAGACAATTGTGGGCTGTCACGAAGCGGTCTTGAGGGGGCTTGGAGGCACATTGGAAGCAAAAGTGCACCATCTGCAAGTATATGGAGCGATCTCGGAATCCTTCTTGGGTTGCCTGCGGTTCCTTTGGAGCCATCTTCGGCCATTTCGGGCGCTCCACCGCCCCGCGGCCACTCTCTGTCCACGCCCGGGGACGAGAGGGCAGGGGGGGGGCCCCCGTCCCTGCCAGGGAGAAACGCGCGGATAAGCTAGCCCGTTAAACCACCACCCACGCCCTGCATGGCTGGTGGGATTTTTCCACGGCCGCCTGGGAATACTACCCCGGATTCTCGAGTGAATTCTGCCCGGATTTTTCCAAATCCAAATGTGAATTTGCCCCGGAAACCGCGTGAATTTTTCCGGGTGCCCTCCGGATTTTTCCGCGCGTGTTTTTTCGATGCGCGCGCCCACGGAAAAATCCACCAAGAATTCGGAGAGGTATTCAAAACGAGTTTTTGTTTTTCTCCCCGCAGTTTTCACTAGGCCGCGCGCGGAGCCTGGAAGGAGGGATGGGGGGGGGGGGGAAAGTAGCCAGGAGCGGGGGGGCACGCCGCAGGAGAGGGCCGGAGGGAGACAGGAATCCCAGCACCCCTTTAAGCGTGAGCGGCGTGACGAAGTAATTCATCCAAGCCCACTCTTCCCCTTCATGGACACGGTTCCCCATTTCCCCGCCCAATCCTTCATGCGCGGGAAGGTAGCCGCGGGTCGTTGGAGCGCCCAATACGGCCCAGAATGTATCCGAGATGGCTGCAAGGAGCCCAGATGCGCCTCCAATGTCGCTCAATGCATCCCAGGACGATTCCGAATAGCCTCCAACATGCCTCTGAGAGTCGCCAAGACCGCTTCAAGACGGCCCCGCGTGCCCTTCGAGCTCTCCAAGGAAGCCTCCAAGACAACATGATGGACCCACGAACCCGGAAAGGGATATAGACATGTGCAGCATGGTCACGTTTTCACGATATCCAACTGGGCGACACCTCACGAAACATCCCACGAGACACCCCGCGAAACATCCCAGGAGACACCTCACGAAACAACCCACGAGACACCTCACGAAACATTCCACGAGACACCCCGTGAAACATTCCACGAGACACCCCACGAACAGGCAACCACTCAACCAGACACCCCACGAAACATTCCACGGGGGTGCGACTGGGTGTGGTCGTGCTGGGGTGTGGTCGTGCTGGAGTATGGTCGTGTTGGGGTGTGGTCGTGCTGGGGTGTGGTCGTGCTGGGGAGTGGTCGTGCTGGGGAGTAGTCGTGCTGGGGGGTGGTCGTGTTGGGGGGTGGTCGTGCTGGGGGTGTGGTCGTGCTGGGGGGTGGTCGTGCTGGGGCGTGGTCGTGTTGGGGCGTGGTCGTGCTGGGGCGTGGTCGTGCTGGGGTGTGGTCGTGCTGTGGTGAGGTCGTGCTGGGGTGTGGTCGTGTTGGGGTGTGGTCTTGCTGGGGTGGGGTCGTGCTGGGGTGGCGTCGTGCTGGGGGGGTGACAGTCACAGTGCTAGTGGTGGGAGCGTGCGGGGTGGGTCGTAGCGGGGTGTGTAGCTGCGGGTGTGTGTAGATTGCTGTGGGGTTTGGGTCGTGCTAGGGTGGGGTC